TGAAAACATTTTTTGTCTTCTCAAAACTCCAAATTTCAAATAAGAAAGGCACCATTTGTGATTTCAAAGAGTGAAAAAAATGCATGTTCTCCTAAAAAAAAACCAAAACAAAACAAAAAAAATCTGTTCTTGGATTTTTGTCTAAAATAATATATACTTGTCTAATTAGGACCCAAGAAAAATGCAGCTACCTTTTCTGTGTGAATTCTGGGCTGAAATACTAGATTTGTCAAAGTTAGTTGAGCTTCAGTCATTAGCTTGTGCGGGACAAATTTTCCAACTCTTTACAAGTAGTATTTTGTCTCCATCCATCTTTCTATGGAGGCTTACTAGAAAAACAGCACAAATTGAATTGTCTAAAGAAAGTCATTCTATGAGTTCTCATTTTAAAGCTATGTCTGGTTTCTGTTGGGTCTTCTGCTCAGCACATCTATATCACTTTTCTCTTGCTGCTCAAACAATTAATTACATCTCAGAACACCCCAGGGAGGGAGGTATTCCTGTCTCATTCTACCAGTGAGGAAGCCACACTACAAAATATTGAACAATTGTCCAAGGTCACTGAGAAAACAAGGACTAGAGCTTATAATCCAAATTCCTGTGCAGTGTGCTCTCTCCACACATATGCAGTGAAAGAGATTTTTTTTCTCACAGAAAAGATAACTGTTTCATTCTGAATCAAAATCAACTTCTGTTTCTAAAACACCAAAAGGTAAATGAAAAATCAAATTAAACCATTATACTACTTAATGATTATATACATCTTAACTATCTAATCAGAATAGCTCTTTCTAATTTTTTCTGGCCACCTTTCCAAAATAATTGACCAGAAATTCATAAAACTGTGCCCAGTAATTGTGGGCAATATTCAGATGTTAAATAAGTTACTGGGAAGAAAGAGTGATCGGGTCTTGATTGGTACCAGGACTAAGCAATGACTATAAATAAAAAATAAAAAGGAAATAATATATTTCTATGTAAATCACATGCCATTCATACATATTTTTATTTTTAACTCATCCATTATTGTGATCTGCCCTTTAAATATTGCATTTTTTTCGTCTTTGCATATTTGAAAGACTTTTATTCAATTCTGGAAAATTTCATTATAAGGTTGCAGAATGCTAAATGAAGAGTTAAAAATACGTGATTTTCTCAAATCTTTACTTAAAGACATTTAGCATGTGATGATAATCACCACATGGAAAGACTACTGAATTTTTCTGTGCTTTCATTAATGCATAGGTAAAATATTTAGAAAAAAACAACTTCATATATACACATCTCTGTGCTATAAATGTTACTGTTTTGATCCCATATTCAGAGAAATTTCTCAAGTTAAAAATTAAATTATCTTTTACATTATGACTCTCATGTAAGAAAAAAAAAAAAAAACAAACTAAAATTCTGTATTTAAACAGAGCTATGGGGTCTCCTAGCAGTTGATCAAAAAATAATCTTTAAAGACACCCTCAAGTAATGTATCAGTAATGTCTGTAATAAATACTGGGATCATTTCTATAACCCAATGAACACAGTAAAGTAAATAAGAGTCCATCTGAACCGTAAAAAGCAGTGCAAAAACACTAACCTGCAAATTCAATCAGGCATAAACCAAGGGTGCTGATAGCCTGTGATAATAAGAATTATTTTATATCCTAAAGGTGAGCTTCAAATACCAATTCACAGGAGCATATAGCAGTTTGGAAGACATATGCAGTGTAATTAAAAGAACTGTGCCCGTGTCTTCGCATTTCTTAGCAAAGTAGCTGTGACACTATGACATCCAAAGCAATTCTTCAGTCCAAGCACTCCCAGATTCCTCACCCATAAACTCTCTTAAGTTTCCATCATGCTGCAATAACTTATATTTTTAGTTTCTGAAAGCAAAGCATAAAATATTTCTCCTTAAATAAGAATGGCAAAGTTGCCAATAGCACCAAATTCCTGAAAAAACTGAACCGTCTGCCCTCACTTACTAAGCTGCTTGAGTGGGTTTCTTTTTAACCATAATCTTACCCCTGATAGCACTGGAGACGGTCAGAAGTGAAAAGGACAGGGAATGAGTGTGGTCTGCTAGAACAGAAAGTCTGGATGAAAGTCTGGATGTCACCAAGGGAACAGGAAGGTCAGGCTCCACAGGTTTTTCTTCCCAGAATGAGAAAAAAGGAAAAGGAATCAGCGTTAGAACACAACAACCACCCTGCAACTTTTTTCAGCTCTTGGGCAGTTCTCTCACGGTTCTCCCAATTACCTTTCTCTCTCCAAAGCTACATCTATTGCTTGCTCTTCACCTGAAATGTCTCTCAGTTTCCATTTCATTGACATGTCACTTTCTTAGGATGAAATACATGTCACTTTCTAAAGATGAAATATGTCCAGGCTCTCTTTCCTTTCTCTTTCGGCGCAGTTTTTCAGAGAAAGACCAGGCTTACTCACTTTTCTCCTGTTCTCACAGTGAAGCTCAGCCTGGTAATCAAACTTTCAACCTTTCTGCTACCCAAGGAGCTACCTAAATCTCTGTGTGACTGCTGAGGTAGTCGATAGGACTGTAGTGTTTTAAGATTGTTTCCAAAGATAGAGATTTCCATTCTCAGGAGCTCCCTTTCTTCCCTTGGTGCTGAATGAAAAAGATTGCCTTGGAGTCCTGGAAGGAAGACATGAAAGAGCAGCTTTCATGTCAGCAAAGCTGTAATGACTAGCATGCAGGTACATTGTTGTTCACTAAAAACCCCTCTAGGAGGAAACCACTAGCAATCTGATTTCTGTTTTGGTGTGGCTGCATCTAGCCATGTACTGGCACAGTGTGGTTCAGAGACTCTTGATAGTGCTGCTTCCTATCATCTTGCTTTCTCCACAGTAAATATATAATCCTTTTCTGCTGCATGTGTGGCAGACACCAGAGTTTTCCAGTCAAAGGCTGCAGTCCCAGAACTTCCACATCTGATCTGTGAATCTATGGATTCACCTGTTAATACAGTAGGGTCTATCATGTAATATCAACAGGAGCTGTTTGCGGTCAACTATCACTTCTTATTTCAGTGATGGTGTTAAAGCTTGAAATCAAGGAAATAGGTCCAGCATGTTACTGAAAAAAAGAGCATAATAGGCTTGTACCACAAATTATGATGCATTTTTTGTTCCACATCAGAAGCTAATACAGTCACAGGAGCAATTTGCTTTAACAGTCAAGGAAAAGCAGTTTCCTCCAGTTGTTAATATGAAGTTATTTTTTACTGCATGAATACTACCAGAAGGACTGTACATTTCACCTTTATATGAAGGTACTTCAATCTGGACAATGGTAAGGGGACTAAAAAGGAACCAGAAATTGGCTTGTCTTTGTGTTGTACATCTACTGAATATTTTTACTACTTCAGTCATTTTCATTTACATAAATGAAGCTTTTCTTTTTCATATAATCATTCTTGTCCCCAAGGCCTCTCTGCAAATGTAGTAACACTTCAGCAAAGGGTAAATGAAGCTGGAAAAAATTTACAGCAAAATGCCATTTTTAAAGGGTGTAATGATATATACTGCAGAGGCAAGATTTTTGAATTCGCTATACAGAAACTTATTCCCTGTAGGAATGAGAGACCTGAGGATTTAGAACCATATCATATTGGCTGCCACTTCTTCAACCCTCTAGGCAGTAGCTTTCCACAGCAAACTTTGGTTTCATGTGACCATAAAAGCCCTGGTTTTCAAAAAGGGAACATCCTGAAGAACTCGAAGAGAAAGAAAATAAATGGAGTGCACAAAAAAATCACAGTAGGAGTGTTTCTTGTTCCATAACAAGATCAACTGCTATCAGATCCTTTCAAGAGATGCCCACTCCATTCATGCTAGCCTGAACTCACTTTAGCTCTACAGCTGCTGCTCCCCTCATACCTCAAGGCAATGACATAATGAAGAGTAGTTGAAGAGAAGAAATAACATTCAGAATTTTAGCAAGGTTTTTATGTTTTCTATTTTCATTTCTCATAGCCACATATTTTTGCAAAAGGAATATTTGATACCTGATTTAACTATTTAGGTTTTTTTGCCTTATGACAGCTATTTATGTTCTTAGTGGCCAGCAGTCATTAGCAAAAAACAGGTAGCAGCAATGCTGCACTCTGGCATGGTATGATACACTGCAGCTTGTGCATTTCCATTTTAGTCATTCTAAATGTGATCAGTTGAAGTCAGTGGAAGACAAAACCAGAAATCATTTGATGACTCACTGGCTGATTTAGGAGATAATTCAAGTTTTGGGTTCAACTGCTGGACTAGGACTGTAGGGAGTTTACTGATTGTGCTTTTGGGAGGGTTAAATTCCAGAAATATCATGTCAGGTAGGAATAAGAAGATTTGTAGAAGGAATGTAAAAACTGAACTAGACTTACAGCTTTTAGCTTATTCTTCTTGAGCATATTTGATTCACTAAATGTGAAAAAGTGTTCTAAAGATACTGCAAAGAAAAATCCCCTGTAGCTTCACTTCTACACATTTTTCTTCCATTATTTTCTTTCTTTCGGTCTCAAATGGAAGTTAAAAATCAAACATATCTTTCTTATCTTTTCATGATTCAACTCCTCATCTTGTTACCATACCAACTGAATTTGAACTGCATTAAATGCTGTTCAAATTTCAGCTTTAACTTAAATACTAGAGACTCCAAACATCAAATAAATTCTGAACTGGCAGACTGATGCAGTGATTTTTACAGAGCTGACTGTACCGCCAACACAGTAGTTATTCATTCTCTGCTGAAAGTGAAGGAGCAAGGCTTTTTTTTCTTCCTAAGATAGACAGGTTTCCTGTGTAGAGAAGTAGGTTAGTTTTCTGTAAGTTTTTTTGTGGGAGGATAAAGAAGTGGATGATAACACCATCCTCATTTTGTTTTCTAAAGCTTTCAGCCAGAGCCCTCAAGAATTTTGATAGCTATTAGCAGTGGCATCCCTTTGTTCTTTCAATTTTAGATATTTACAAAACTTGTTTTTCTCTTCTGTTTTTAGCACAAGAAGAATGGGCCACGACCCGTTCCAGCCTAAAGGCACCACCTCCAAGGTCAGCCAGAGGGGGATACAGGGAACACCCCTATGGTAGATATTGAAGGTCCTCCTCATCTGTGACCTCATCTCAAAGACAATTAATAGCCTGTGGTCTCCACATAAACAGCAACAAGACAAGTAATAGTCCATTTCTTTTCTATCCTAGGAATTACTGCTCATTATTATCCTATGTACTACTTGTATTTCCTATAACATTGGCGTGACATTGGCATTAGTATTATTTTATAACACGGACTTAAAAAAAACAGAGACAAAAAACCTTTGGCAAGCATTGTCTATAAACTATTCGAAGATGATGTTCTGTTGGTTGTATTCATTGCTGTGTGTAACTAAAAAGCATGACACTGTTACAGCTCTTGAGTCTTTCTACATACTAGTTAAGGCTGAGTTTCTGTTTAGGGTTGCTGAAAGACTGTAATATGATTTTTTTTTTTTTTTGATCCAGACAATAATCAAGCTGTAGATAAGATGTTTTAACCTGTCTTTTTTAATATATGTTAGTTTAGATTAAGATGCTCGATATTAAGTTTGTAAATTTAATTTTAAATGCTGTTTTAATGGGGTTGAAAACAAGCAGCTACTGTATGTATGTAGCTAACTGAAGTTGTTCAGTGTTTTAACCTGTATTTGTTAAACAAAATCACTTAAAGTTCCATGTGTAAGCTTCTCTAAATAGGAAACCATAATTTTGTCAAATATGTTTGCCATAATTTGTCAATAAAGCTGAAACCTTTTGTAACAAACTAAATTTGGAATTACTTGTTTTCTAGCTTTAAATGCCTGCTTTATTTCTTTTTCAAGAGATGCCTAAAATGTTTTTATATAAAAATTACAAAAATGAACCCAAGCCTGTTTTAAGATTTTTTGTGTAAGACTTTAAAAGTTGTATTAATAACTTCTGGTTGTTAAATAATATAAAAGTTAACAAACTAAACTGTTACATGAATCATGGTTAGTATCCACTAATGTATAACATGTTAATGGAAAAAATTGCTTTAGAACAATAAATGGATTTTAAACTATCCTTTAAGCTTGATCTTGCTAAACACAAACTCTGATTGACTTGTTTGTATTAGCATGTCTCTCGTGAGAATGTAATGGAGTTTAAAGAGGTAAGAATACCACTTACCACTGTTAGACTGTCTAAATGCTAGTTCTTCAACCTTTGAGTTTCCCCGCACATTAAATATCCCATTCAACATGTAAGCATTGCATAGATTCACCTATTTGTTTTCACTCAGAAGAGTGCGTTGACTGCATTTTTCGTAGTATATAACAATTTGTCTTGATAAACAAATCATCAGTGTCACTGCCCAGCTGTTGGTACTCAACTTCAAAAACTTTATTTGTAATTTTCAGTGCTAAATATCACCGCCCTTGAAGGCAGTTTAGAGGGCTGATATTTCTTTTGAGACTATCAGACTTGATGGCTGATGATTGTTAAGGAAATATGTCGCAGGACTCAAAGGATGACTAAACGTTAAACAGGTAACACTAATAGTAACTCTGTAATTTTGAGTATGCAACAGTAATGTAAAATATTCTCAGTTATTAAGTTACTGATAGTTAAAAAAGTAAACCTACCAAAAGATAACAAATAGGTATATAGGCTATTAAAACAACTAATTAACATTAACTAGTGACAACAAAATTATTCTACAATATATAACCCTCAAGGTAATAAACAGAACTAAAATTAACAATAATAGTAATGCAACTCTTGCTAACAACAAATATATAACCTAAATTTTGATGAAGAAAAAAAAAAAAGAACAGAAGACTTGATGGTAGGGATGCCAAAACTGTTAATCCTTTCAGTACAGTCTTTTTGTTTACAGTGGCTTTTTGTCAATGTGATTGGTTTACTTTTTTGATGCGACTAAAGTACAGGCCGATTGCTGTTCAGTTTGTGAACAAAATCTCTTGCAGCTGGAGTTGCATGCTAGCTCTGTTTGAATAGTTTATGATGAGTATGTTTTGTCCTTTGAAGTGTTAAAGTGAATTTAGTGGGCTACGTGATGGTTACATTGAGTTTATTCTGTCTCACTATTTCAGGGACTCACAGGCACTGGACAGCTAAGCAGCAGATCTGCTGGGAGGTGGTCAGGTAAGCTCTGCTGCATCTCAGGGGGTTTTCCTACTTCCTGTTTTATCTCTGCATATGGTTTTACTAGTACACAAAATGTATTCAGCTACAGTTATAAAAAAATGTCTTTCCAGCAATGTTTCTCTGTGTATCAGCATAGTGATCATGGTATAATGGCAATCAAAACATTTACATGTGTGTTATGATCCTCTTCATTCCAATAAAAAAAAGTCTTGTCATCTAGCCTTTAGTAAATATTAAGATGGTGTACTTTTTAACTGCTCTTGCTAAAAACAGGAGCTTCTGTTTATTAAAAGCATGCCTACATTTTGGCTTGTCACATAGCAAAGAAAAATGCAATGCTGGATTGTCTTTGCTTCTGAAAATATTTTACATTTCTTCCTATGAAAATTGTATCTGTATAGAGACAGGAAGTTTTTTATTTATTCTTATGCTTGGTTTTTCTCTTTTATTCTTTAGAATGGCAGGGACATTTAGGTATTATTATGCAATGGCATGAATGGAGGCATTACTTATATTTCTCTGTTATATACCTTTAAACATAAATGTTCTTAAATAGACTTCAGTTCATATTTGAGATTTTTGACTGAAGACAAATATCATTGCTGGAAACAAAAAAAAAATCAGCTCAGTAACAACTTTGTCCATGGACTCAGAAGTGAGAATCTAATCACAATACAAAAAGTACAAATTCTTTTCATCATTCTTAACTACATAAGATCACACAAATACACAATCCTAGACACATTTATTACTCTGGCATCTTTTCCCATGACTGTGGTCTGGATGATGTAACATTTTCCAGGTTTGGTGGTATTCAACAGTTACTTACAAACCACAAGTTATATTGTATAACAAGATATAAAGGGTTTAATTTTCCTCTCCAAAGAGTTGCCTCAAGATCTTTATAAATTGTTTTTATTGATGTGCTACAACTACCCTACAGACCAAAGTGATATAGTATGGCATTAAGGTTTGTCTCCATATTACAGTCACATCAGTGTGAGTGTACCACTGTAGGAAAATCTTCCGTCTACCCCCCTTTGCATGTAATTACACTAATTTGCTTTGGTCAGTATATATCTCCACAGAAAAGAAAAATACTTTCCATTGCTATAAATAGTTTTATGCTGGTATAACAGTGATTATAGATTATTATGTATTATAGATTATACTATATAACTATTCCAGGAAATTCTTCTATGCCTTGCTGAAATGATTAATAACACAAATCTGTGAGCAGGTCTTACCTGATGTAAGTGAGATCCAGGGCAAAGTAGATAGAATTAATTTCTCCGTTGTGTATCACATTTTATGTGAGGGTAACTACTGTGAACTCCTTGAGGATGGACTTCAATAAATAAAGCTTTATAACAGAGCAGTGTCCTTTAATATTCCTGTCTCCGAGTCTACTTTGCAGCCATTACTTGTCCAAATTTAAAAAATGGCAGAAAATGTCAGTAAAATGATGCATTGTGAAATATTCTTACATAAGAATTATTTTGAAAAAGTAGATTAAGTCAGTGCAAGCAAACAACTATTTATGCAAACATTTTTCCTATTGATTTTCAGGAAAATAGTGTGAAAAATTACCCAAGACTGCATGTGCTGTTCAGTGCTAACTAAAAGTGTATTTCACTGCTGTTTCTGAAGAAGCCTTGCAGTTAATCAGCTATGCCTTAAGAAAAACATAAAATTTATTAATTTTTTAGAGAGTAACAAGACAGTCTGATTATTCTAACTAACAGCTGTCTTCAGGTCTTCCATGAAAAGCTGTGACACATTCCACACATCCACCATCAGGTCAACCACAATTCTGAGGTCCTGAAAACTTATGTGCACCACCAGAAAACGTAATTTCACTCATGCTGCAGATCACTCCAAGACACTTGTCACCAACCATTTTGTCTGGCTTAACTCACCTACCAATTAGTTTAGTTTTGTTTGCAATATAAAGAAGAAAGCAATGTAAAATACCAAAATAAATAATTGAAAAACACCGGGAAAGGAAGTTAAAAATGCAAAATTTTTGTCCAAATATTTCTAAGTTTTTTTTTGTCTGTGTTGTCCTCATATGTAGAACAGTTTGGTCTTTAGAAGACAGTAGTGCTACATTTTTTTTTTGCATTTCTTTAGTAGTTAAATCAGCAAATTCTGTTTTCTTTGGAGCCTTGTTGCATGTATTCAAGAGCCATTCTAACTGAAAAAAAATAGGTATTTCTAGAGCAGCAACTTTTGTTAGAAAATTAAGTAGTACCATATAACTCTTTCATATTTGGCTTATCTTACAGTGTTTAAACAAAGATCTTAAATCTTCCTATGAATAAATGAAGAGCCTCAGGAAGCACAGTGTATCTGACCTCACCACAGAGGATATTGGCAATGTTTCTGTAGCCTAATGAGGTTCTCAACCTCCATTCAGAGTGATGGAGCTACAGCCACTAAGCCAAGTGATCTCTACCCCCTTACTCTACGCCCTTCCCATAGCCCAGCCACAATTACTCCACTTTGTTTAGGCACGTGCTGACTTCCAAACTGCCTAACACTGATGTTAGTAATGGGGAGAGAGGGCATGAGGAGCACATTCCTGTGTCTGTGGTAGCTCTGAGGAGATGGGTGTGCTGACCTTGTGAGTGAGCACGGCAGGATGGAAGGGGCTGTGTCTGCATTGCCAGGGAGCTGCCAAACCACAGCCAGGACTGAGCGACTGAGCTGCATATCAGGAACTGAGTAAAGCAACCAAGTTACCATTAGGATCAGGATAATTAACATATATGAGTGCACCCGTTGAAAGGCTTATTATTTCATCCTGATAATATGGATTTATGGTAGTCCTCATGAAATACCATCCAGGATTATTATTTGAAGGTTGAAATCAAGAACAAGTAACCAATGTATTGTGTTCAAATAAAAACCTATTTGGTCTACAATAGTGATGTATTTCCTTCATGTTTGACAGTAACAGTGTTGTTTTGTGAACTGTCTTTCTAAGAAGTCCAAAGTCTTGCAAGATTCAAATATTGCAGCTACAAAATTATAAATGGAGGTAAAGGAGAATCATCAAATTAGGTAAACATTGGAGTGAAAAAATCTTTGGCATTGACTGAAGAAGCCTGTGATCCATTAAGGAAAGGAAGCCCGAGAACATTTTCCATATTATATTGCATTAACATGCAGAAACAAGTCGAGACTGTATAAAGGTTAAGTAGGGACAGCACTGGATATCAGTGTTCTTCATGCAGCCTTCCTAGAGATAACTCATATTCTGTAAAGCTAACTGGTAAATTTCCTTTTGTTTATGGAAAAATGCTGTGTAAAATGAAAGGACAACTGAGAAAATGAAAGGACAGCTGAGAAACTCTACCTAAATTTTCTTAAATAGCTACATATTTTGACAGAAAATTGTTCGCCTATTGTCTTCTGTAATTTCTTTGTGAAAGAAATACCAAATCTAAGCAAGATTATAATCTCCTAAACAATCTGTTTGCTAACAACTTCTTAGGAAAGATGTTAAAGAAAATAGCTTTGGCTTTTTTAATAAGTATTGCCTGAATTCTTCTATAATGTTGTGGAACTTCAATAAATGACTCAAGACTGCAAGAAGATAAAGCAGTTTGGGGAAAATATTCATAAATTCAGAATCACAGAATAGGTTATAAATGAATCCTAAGTGAAAAAGAACCAATTTATCCCTATATCAGAATCTATGGATTTTTAGGGATCAGGAGGACTGAGTTGATTTGTAGATGCATTTTTTTCAAGATAGGATTAAAAAAAATCATTTCACTTACAAATTACAAAGTTTTTACACAAGAAGAAAGGCTGTAATTTGAAAGGTTGGCTGTAGTTAATGTCCAAAGAATAGAGATTATATTTGTTATTATTTCCTGTAATCCTCTGTTGTCAGCAGATTAATCAAAGTACAAAAAGAACCCAAATTAACAAGTAAAATCACAGGAAAAACTGAAAAATACTTGAATATTGAACAGAAAAATAATGCTAGTGCCTTCTGAAGTTTTTTGTCCTCCATTAAAAACTCCGTGACTTCTGTCAGTTATTAAAACCCAAGAGTTATCAGAAAAAGTGTCACATTATCCATTTTACTGTACTGGTCTGCTGAGATAGAACAGGCACACAGGTTACTTTTTCAAACCAGTTATGGATGCAGAGATGATCATCATCATCCACTCTGTTCTAAGCTAATTAAATTTTTCTAATCATTACTGTTTATCATTGGAACCTGACAGAAAACTCTGAAATCATTAAGCCTTTCCTTTTCCTTCAATTGGTTTTGCTTCTGGTCCAGGCAGTCAGATGTTAACATTCATTTGAAACATTAGGGAAAATGATTCCTACTGAAAGATTTGCTGATCTACATAGCTATTAGACAATTTATGAGCTTTGCTCCTGAGAATGCTGGCATCTTTTTGTGGAGACATTGTGTACAGTATTTATGTTCTGAAACCATGGAATCTGAAGATGAACTGTGCCTGCCAATATGAGTACAGGAAAGATTTTCTGTCCTTTCACAGTCTCTGGTGGACTAAGTTATTTTTATTACATCTTGGCAGAACATGTTGAAGTATATCTCTAAATTGTGCATATGTGGAACAAAGTCTTCGTTCTCAAAGAGAAGCAATTTTTGTCAACTTAAGCATAAGAAATACAGATTTATAAAATACAGATTTCTACTAAAAACATGTTACTGTTTCAAAGGATTTTTTTCTTATATAAATCCTTTTAAAAGGCTGTGTCGTGTAGTTCTTAAAAGACATAAATGCCTCCTTCCCTAGAATAATTGAGTTAATTTTGAAACTTAGTATGCTTTACCAGAGAAGAGCAAGATTTGTTGAAAATGCAATTGCAGACATATTTCAAATATGTAAATCAGAAGGAAGGTTTATTGGAAGAAGATCACACCCATGCTGTAATGGTATAGGTCATTATTCACATATTAAAATGATAAATATGAAAGAAAAAGATGTGCAGTTGATCATCTGCATGTGCCCTAAGAACTTTTCAAACGGCTATGTGGAAACAAACAGAACCTTCTAAAATCTTTTCACAACATTTGGATGTACAAGGAAAATAGAAATGCTTCATTACCCTGATAAGAGTAGAACTAATTATGAAAATGATGTTTCTTGTTTATTTCTGTGGCTGCTGTACTTTATTGATTTAATGGAGGTATAGTTTCTTGTTGTGCAGTATTATTATACAGTGTGAGAATAGCTGTTTCTGTCTTGTTTGGCACTGTTGTTGCCATGCTGGATGCATTAGCTCATGATGGATGGCTCACTCACAGGAGAGCAGTGGATACTTCTGTTACATGCCCTTGCCCTACGAGACCTTCACACTGTGTCACCGCCACCAAGTGAGAGGTGCAAACTGCTGAGCTGCTCATCCGTGACTCAGCATTTGGGTGGGCTTGCTTTCTTTACTTCTGCACAGCACACAGAAGAGCCTGTGCAGATATTTTGTGTCATGATTTACTGTATTCACTTTTAACTCCACATTCATTGCTCAGCTAATAATTCTCTGTATATCTTCCTGAACCTTATAACAATCCTGTACAACCAGTGGCAAAATTCAATGAAAAGGTCTTGCCAATGCAGCTTCTTTCTTTTTCATTTATTTTTTCCACTTTTTTTTTTCTCTTCTTCCCAGAAGAATATAATGTTTTATGTACCTATTTTAGCTGAAAAGATAATCAAGGACACTGTCATTCAAATGAAATGCTGCTATTTGCTAATAATACAGGAATTTAGTGTGGCATTCTCTGAGTATTTAAAACTGATAGGTTTCTTTTTATTATTCTGTATGGTATTTTGAGTATTTAATGCCTTTTTAATATCTGGTTTAGAATTCATGATGTAAAGATACAAACAACTGACAGGAATGTTGTATTCCATTAAATTCCTGTTAAGCAAAGTAGCATTCTGCTGGAGAATTTAATCCTGCAGATTTTACTCAGGTATCATATACTAAAAATCCCTGCTGACATCAAGGACTGAAAAGGGAAGATGAAATTCAGAATGTGATCTGTATTCAGTTTTATAATTTAATTAAATTCAAACAGAACACTTAGCTGTGAAGGACTGGAGTGTATTATTCCAGCCCATGTCCTGCTTAGCATCAGTGTGAAATAACTTTGATCCAGGAAGAGTACTTTAGACACAGTACCATATCAAAATTTTACTTTTCATGTCATCATAACCAATTTTCCCACATGTAGGAAAAATATTTAGTTGAAGGTACATGCTTGGCACTGTTGCTGGCTCAAATCTCAACTTGGCGATCCAGTTCATCTGTTCATGGTAGTCACCACTTTATTTTCATAACAACTATCAAATTTCTGAAGGACGCACATTACTTTTTGTATCACTGAACTTGATTGCAGATCTAAGGCAAAAGTGGGTTGTCCATTAGGCTGTGAAGCCATGTGGGGTACGTGCTTTAGGCAACCCTAGTGCTCATTAGAAAGAGCTGTGGGCATCCCAATATTGCTGCATAGTCCTTAAAAGCTGAAATAGCACCTACAGAGCTTAAAAGAAAATTGTTGCACTGAAGTCAAAATACTTACTAAAGGCAGCAGGTATTTATTTCAATCTCTACCTTATAATGGAGAATTAGAAAAACAGTGAAGCTGCATGATTTGGCTAAGGTCACTCAGCAGGTCAAAGTGATGTAATAAAGGGCAATTGGCAGAGCAGCAGGTGAGGGGAAGAAGCTGCATCTGAAAATGAAGCCTGGGATAAATTCTGAGCTGGGATTTGTTTTGAGAACTGAACTCCCTTGTCCACAGTGCAGTTGTGCTGTCATCACTTGGTGCCTGCTGGACTTTAGCAGGCAATTGGATGAAGCCACAGCAGAATCTGTGTGTATAGGGACCCTACATGTACCAGATTTACACTGAAGAAGCCTATTATTATTATCTTTATCAATTTCCTTTATAACCCCTATTTTTCTATAGCTGTATCACCTGTTGCCATGGTAATTTTCTCATGCTGTTTGTCATTGATGAACAAGAAGGACATCTCAAAACACAAATAAGGGCTCGAGACACCTGGTAATAACCAATGTCCTCCCCATAGCACTGAGCACATTGGACTGGACCCTAAAAACCTACATATTTTTAAAGTTTATTGTGCTGACAGTTTTAGAAATAACATAAGGTTTATTTTATACCAATTTAGGGATAATTTTAGATTTGGAGTACTTAGTTTGGGTTTTTCTACTTTGGAGTCTGCTTAGCTAAAGTAATGGAAATAAGGCACCTGATTTTCTAATACATAGTCAACCAAAAATAACCCTAAGAATATATATAAGGATCTAAAAAGCAAACAGTTTTTTGGTATAATAACACTTTATACCAGATTCTTCATCTGGACTTACTTCAATGAATCATTCTTATTCATAGCTCTCACAGATACTGAGTACAGAACAAGCTATAAAGTATAATTTGCCATGCCTCCATTTTTCTGGTAAATATAATTTTGGCAAGGCTGGCCATATTATCTACCCTTAAGATGTTCTGTAAATACCACTGTGTCCTCTTCAAGATGATGAATTTTCAAGATGGTAAATTTTCCAAGATGGGTATGTGCTCAACCCAAGGATTTTGGTCAAAATGCTAAACAGTTCAGAAAAATAATATTTTTTTTCTGTCAGACATAGAAAAAAATGTTTGGGGTGCATGGTGAAGAGGTCAGGAGAAATATGTAGAACAAGCAAAAGCTCTGTATGTATTAGCAAATTAGACAACACCAGAATGATCCTATCTCAGATTTATTTTCCCAGTGCTCATATTTTTAATTGCAGTCTTGCCTAAAATACAAGTTGATATCTGTGGAAATGTATAAGGGCTGAGTGCGTAAATTGGCTCTTAGCCACAGAACCGCTGGCAGACATTCCCAGTGATTTGGAGGGTGTTTAATGGAAAACAGCTGAGTTTGGCTAAAACAGAGGAATGGATTATATTATCTTTCAGCATCTCTATCAGCAGTTTTGTGTGAGGGTAGACAAATTGCTCAAACTAAAAGCCTGCTATTGTTGTGGGTTTTGTTGTCTTGAATTCTTTCAAAGACTTTTTGGATCTGATTTTCACCAGTTACAAGTGTCATCATCAGCTGTGCCTGACTGTAAAGTGCTGGTTGAGGTTAGGTGCAAGCCTTGGCTTTTGCAGACAATGTAACAGTGTTGAATGTTTTATTTTAACTCAGGAACATAATAAACAATTAGTTACATTTATGAGGTACTATTACCACAAATGACACAGAAAGCCAACTGCAAAAGTCATAATTTTTTCAAGAAAAATTAAAGTTTTGAATTGAATTCAGACATTTAATAAAGGAAAAAACACACTGAATAATGAGGATAAAACAAATATTGAAAAGCTCTTCTTTCAGTGATCTTTCTTAAGAATGAAATCAAGCAGAATAAAAGAAAATAACTCATCCATTTTAAGCTCAATGGTTGAAACAAAAACAGAAAACCCAACAACCTAACAAAATTTGACTCAGACACTGACTACATCAAATCTATACATGACAAGACCTGAATTTGGGTTTCACTGACCTGTAACTGATAGTTAACTAACTTCACAGTGCTTGGCTTACTTTAACTATTCATTTTGTAAGCCTGATGTTTTTATCCACCTAATACTTTTCATCAAAGAAGAATGTTTCCAAGTTTATGAAAAGGTCTACACAATTTGCAAGTTGAGGTTTCCTGTATCATAGACTTCCTTGGGATCTAAGGAATTCCCCTGAGTGACCCAAAAATTATTTTCTGATTCTTTCATGAAAATCTGTTTGTTTTGGATAATATCATGAGACACCCACAAAGTTGTTGTTTGCCAACTCAGTAAACTTGGTAGAAGCTGTAGAAAGATGTCTATATTCCCCTACTCCGCTGATCAGAGTTTTTTCCTTCTACGTGAAATTACCTTGGTGTAACACTTGGGGAAATACAGAGCACATTCATTACCTAGCTTCAAATAACTACTTTTGCTGCTACAGGTACCTAAAGTACCTACACATTCCATGTGATCTTTGCATACAGGAAATAATTCAGAGTACCTAAGCCAGATGCTCTAAAACACTCTCTGGATGTTGGCTCGCTGAAGAAAGAAACTAATGTGTTTTAAAAATTCCTCCCTCTCTGGCCTAAATCTTTAAATTTTCTGACAATTCATTTATTCTAATAAGAACTTATTTTAATTAGTCTTTCATAGGCCTGATTTTGTTAATATTATCAAGAAATGAAACGCATCTGCAACTGAACTTGTTTTTACAAGTTCCCATTCTCATCCATACCAGCACTGAGAATTAATTTACTCTGGAAGAATATAATTACTCTGCTTTAATATCTGCATAATGAGTGTTGATGTTCATAAAATTCACCCCCACAAACCTCCTTTTTATATTACATTGCCAAAAGCACACTCATACTACTGTGCAGGGACTATGAGCCTTCATCTCAAGTAAGTGATTGCAGGTACAGAAAAGGTATTGAGGCAGCACCTGATATATTTGTAGCAGTATAAAAATTAAGAATTTAGATGAGGAATCTAAAGAACTATGAAAAAAAAACCCAAAAACCAACCAAAGAAGCAAATACAAGTGTTTAGTTTGTTCTTTTGCCTCTTTTTTGCTCTGTTGTTCACACTCATCATTTTAGAGATCCTAAGCAGGTCAGGCAGTCCCATTCTACGTGTGCTTTGCAGGGAACAGGAATGTGTTAGAGCTGTGTAGCAAATTCCATTGTGTTTTGTAACTGCATTATCTCATAGCATGCAGAATTTGGAAGGTAATGTCTTCCAAGAGTCTTCTGTCACCAGAACTATAACCCTGTGTCACAGAGATGCTATGTGAAGCTACTTAGGTCATTTAAGCAAAAATATTAATGTGACAACTAATTTTATGTTCTTTATTGAATATGTCTACCCAACTTTATCTTGATTTTCAGATTTTTGGAGCCTTAGGGAAGTACTGTACCTTTTGAATGGTGTTCAGGGAATTGAGAGTGCTCAACATCATTTGCAATAAATCACTTGCTTCTGAAGGACAGCCTCAGGTTGGAACTCTCCACAGCCCTGAGTTCTGGACCTACCATTACCACCCTCTCTAGGATATGCCACCACTCAGATTTATAATGATCTTCCAGTCTATAAGGTGAGCTCTAGTATTTTTCTATATGTTTTTAGTTTATGTAAAATGTGAGATAATTAGGTCACATCAGTCTGCAAAAAATAGAATTATTTTAAACTAGTTCATATTTTGTTTGCCATTGTAAAAGAGGTTATGCAGAGATGCGTAGGATGCTTGCTACTTTGAGACAGGACAGTTTGATTATGTATCTAAATTCTTACACTTTTTCTGTCATAAAGAAATACAACAGTTAATCATCTTCTCACAGAAGCAACACAATAATAAATAAGCTGTATTTTTGCAGTGTGTTGAGCATCAAAAATACTTGAAGAAATTGTCTCCCCTTGGCATAAGTCAACCTTTGAGACAGTTTGTGAAAACTAAATTTTGCAGATTCTGGGGGTTTTTTTTGCTCTGTTCTCCACTTGTTCATCTCTGAAAATATTGGTATCTTCTTTGAGCTACTGTGAATTCACTTATTTATATTGTTCAGTTACTGTAGCATTGTTGCTACAAACTATGCACAGTGAAAATCTGTTAGAAAGTAAATAAAACAACAGCAGCAACCATTTGGATGAGAAAGAAAACAAAAAAGGGTCATGCCATTAGAGTTTAGGACAGATACAAGTATTTAATTCAATCTTATATCCAGAATGAGTTAGTTCTTTTGGAGAAAAGGGTAGTAAGTGGTCCTGTAGTTAGAGGCTATGTTCTCTTGTATATGCTGAAGAACATAATGTAATTATATTGGAAATTATAAATCTAACATTTCCTAAATCCTTCAAGCTAAATACTGAGTTGTATTTTTCTGTAATAAGCTTATATACATCCATATGTCATAGAAAAGTACAATTATAATTATTAAAAACTACAAGTATAATTATTGCATTTAGTTATTAGAAATGAACTTGTTTCTTCAGCAAAGAGCACGTGAAGCAAAGGACCATTGTCACTTGCTGTTGTTAGTGCATCCAGAAGGTCTCAGCTCACAGAATCAGCATCAGTAGCTAATGTGGAGTCCCGCTGTAGCTGGACTCAGCTTCATTTCCTGCACCCTGGTGCAAGCACAGTCCTTCCCTCGTTTCTCCTGACTGCACACCAGAAATGGACCTGAAGTGTTCCCTGAGGAACAGCATGAGGTCCCCATGTGGGACCCCATTCCCTGTCACCGTGTCTTAAAAAAGGGGTGGCACTTTTCTGCCCACACTAATTTTGGGTTCCAGTATTGCATATGGTGATAAAAATTTAAACTATGCCCTGGTTTAGACATGGATTTTTTTTCTCTACAGAGAAAGAGCTAAAAGAATGTGGCCAGAAGCTACTCAAGCCTAGCACTGCTCTAGACTGGAGAAAAAAACTCCGTGGATTTTTCAAGATTCTGTCTCCTGGCTAGAGCTGGAAATAAACCCTAGGTGACAGTATTCACACTCCAGTTTTATGTAGGTTGTGAGTGAGATAAAGAAATATGCAGCTTTCTTAAGGGTTTACTAAGATTTTATTTAAGTGTGTTACCACTGTAAGTAGTAATCTAAAGCTCTTGGAAATATTTTTTTTTATTATTCTTTTTGCTTTGCATATAGCAAATGGAAGAAGAAGGGGGATACTGCACTACATCACAGAATACTATTCATCAGAACCAAAATACTTTTACTTAGAGCCCAAACTCTTAACCATTATACCACATTTCCTAAAATGGTTTACAAGGGGGACTTGGAAGTAGGTGATCATAATTGCCTAAAGGAAATGACCTAGTATTCTTGGAAACTTGAGAGTAGTAATTCCTTTAATTGCAGTAGTAACTGCAGTTTTTAATAAGTGATAAAATATTTCGGCTGGAAAGCTCTACTTAATATTCCTAGAAGATTAACAAAAGTCTATTGACGAAGAAAGAGGAAGTCTGATTTTTTTTCCCCCTCCTGAGAAAGATAGAAATTTGTAGCAAAATACCAAGATTCATCTAATTCCATTACTTCCTTGCATTTTCTGAGTTTTTGTTTTCCAGCTGCATATATGTGTGTGTGTGTGTGTGTATACGCATATATATATACACACACATATATATGTACACATATATATATATATATACTCGGTTACTCAGTTCAGGTCCAAAGGACTATTTAAACACTTTTCAGATATGTGTCAAAAAACCCAAATGAGATTAAATATCCTCTACTGTTTAGAAAATGTTCTTAAATGCCTAGTGAAGACTATGTGGCTGTCTTTCAGGTAACTGAGATTGGGCAAAATTCAAAATATTTAGGGAGCAAAGTTTTCAATTTCAGTTGTGGGTGTTGCTTTCATTAAAAGCTGCAGATTGTGTATATCATGTTGTATCATTAATAAAATTGTGCAGAGCTGAGAAGAACAAGGCGTGAGGCATATGCTAGTCCTTGGAGTTTGAGGTAGGCCTGTTCTGTGCCCAATGCTCTGTAGTCAAGCAAGAGGTTGAAAAGTGGGTGTAGAGAAGCTCAGCCCAATGCACAAGAGTTCTGCTGTGAGCAGACCATTCAAGGCTTCACACTGAGCTTCTCATGCACCTCATTCACCTTGTGGAAATTGGCCCATGGAATTTCCCAGAAGTGAATTTTCTGTACTTCTGTAATTTCTGCTGATTCTTTCCTCTGAAGGCTTTGTTTTTAAATTGGTTGTTTAGTAAAGAAAAGGATTTACTTAGGAGAAGGCACTTCCATTGATAACTCTGAACATTTTTAAAAGACACTACTTTCCATATTTGTGCACTTTTGTTTTTAGAAGTACTTACAGCCTGCAGCTTTCACTAGTCTCAGGTTCAGGTTCTCAAAAACCTGGAGTCATGACTGGTGTAAAAGATATAAATATATCCTGACTCAAACCAGCTTTTTTGTACTTCTTGTCTTGCATCTTTATACAGATACTGTTGAAATTAATATGTTAGAGATTTTTGAGACAGGAAGCTAGTACTAATGAAAGCTCAAGAAGTACTGAAAATGCATATATCACATGAATGTTTCGCTATTAGCTGGAATTACAGCTGAAGTGAGCCTCCTTTATTTTTCTAAACATCCATAATGGCTGGGTTATGTTGCTGTAGTCATGCACTATAATGATGGTCTACAAAACAGGTAAGTAAATGAGGAGGTAAATTGTGTAAGTATTTTTCTCAAGATAGGTAGAATTAAATGTTGGAGAATATTCAGCCTGAAGCTAATAGACATAAGACACTATGGGCCATACCAGCAATAATGAAAGCCCTCAGTCACCCCCAGTCCTTACTGGTGAGTTCTGTAGGTACATCTGTAACCCCTCTGCAGCATCTAAGTTTGGGTGTCTAATCTCTCCTTATAACACTGATACAGAGATAAATGTTTAGCTAGGGCTGAATCTAGCCTTTAGGCTGTGTCCTGAACTCTCTTTTCTCTCAAAGTCAAATATTATTTTTAGCTTTTTTTGACCTGACCATCTGACTCCTCTCAGCATTTGTTTCTGGTCAAATGCACTGCTCCCCATCTAGGGCTAAACTGACTTACCAAAGAAGTTATGTTCTTCAGGCATGAAATGGGTTTTTATTACTGAGGTCCACAGTGCAAATCATTGGAAGTTATGTAATAATATGAAGGGACATATAATTGAAAGGCTGTCAGAAGATAAAAGGGTATCTAGCTTCCCAGAGCATTCACATTGCAGCTCCTGAATCTGGCTGACATTGAAGGAGCGATTCCGTGCTCAGTGCCGGCCCCTGTGGTGGCAGCTCTGCTCCTCCTCACTGCTCTCTGTTGAAATATCAGAGTCTGCAGCAGAATTTAATACAGGAGTTTTCCATTAAAGACATTAGCTCCTGCATTTCACAGTTACTTCTAGCTCAGCTCACCTGCTGGGGACACAGTGCTTTGTCCTTGAATAGGCAGGACTGCCCTCATCCTGTTCTTCCCACTGGAGCAGCGAGAAGTAGCGTGTGAGTACATCCTGAGCAATGCACAACAAGTGAGTAACTGCAATACAGGCATATATTATTCTTGGATTTGTTTTAAATGTCAAACAATAATCCATGGGAAGTAAAAGTAAGTCTTTAACTATCCTGATGTTCTCCTAAATGTAAAAAACCATAAGAGATGCTTGTATTTACTACAAATAATAAAACTGGAGCTTACGCTAATCAAATTCAAATCAGTTCAACTGCATAATTTTCAGTGAATAGGTGCTTATAAAACACAGAATGAACTCCACAAGGGAAGGTTCATTGCTTCCTAATCAAAAGCAGTCAGCTTTAAACACCAGCCAGTCAGGTGATAGGTTTGTCATTTCTCAGCTGTGCTCTTGGAGGGAATTTGCCAAGAAGGCTTGACAGCCTTTAAACTTCACAGAGCATTTTTTGCCTGGTTTTGAACATCATGTTGAGCTACAAAAAACTCCTGGGAGACTGGGAGGAGAGGCAGAATAACAGCAGTTCTATTAAAATATATTTGCTGCAATGAATGCCAAGCAGAGTTTATGGTGTGAAAAAACAAGTAATTCCTGAAAAGAAATGTTGACCCCCCTCAGGTCTGATTCTTTCTTGTCTAATGATGTCCAGCTACTCTGGGGGACTGAGGAGTGTCGGTGATTAATTGCCTGGATGTCAGAGAAATAAAGGCTCATAATGCATCATTAAAAGCTAGAAATCAGGGTGTCTGAACTATCATGGGGAGCTTAAAATGAATGTATTTACTGCTATGTACAATTACCAGTCCAAGTCAGAAATCATTTGCTTTCATAATTTAGAACAATGGCAGCTCTCCAGTGAAAATGTATTTACAGTAGTTTTACCTTGCTTTCTAGAGGCTTAGTACAAAAGAGAGAGACAAAAATTAATATGCAGCAAGGCAGTTAAAAAGAAACCTGCCTTTGAAACCTGTTCTTTCATTTTAATCAGCATGAGCTCTGCTAAATAGGGAAAAGAATTATGGGTAGGAGGTTAGCAACTAGGTTACTGGGGGCAAATCACTCTCAGGGGAATAAGTTTGCAATCTGAGCAACAAAGTCTGAGCTGTGCATGACTTGGGGTGAACAGGTCTTCTCTGATACAACATCAATTGCAAGGTGGCCAACCTAAAGTCTCACAACCAAATTCCCCAACTTAAAGGTCTGTTCTCCCTTCCAATGGCAATTGTTAGACTGTGCTAAAAAAATTTTTCATTGTCTTCTATTTCTATTTTCCAATGTCTTTCTAATGTCATTTCACATCCTCAACTTTGGGATCTCATACATTTTTTAGTAATTTTTGGTATTGGTTGAAGTCCCATTAAGCTTCCTAAATTCTTAAATGGCTTCTTGGAAGGATTTTGTTGGATATTTTTTTCTTGTAACTTAGGTTACAAAAGTAGCACCATAAACATTAATTGAAGTGCCATTAAGCAGTAGGACTGTTTGTTTTGGGTTGATAGAGGACATAAAACTTCATACCCTGTGGTGGAAAACAATTAGATCTGATTATGAACATGCTATTAAATATACCATTACCAAACTTCTATCAGTTTAACTTTAGAAAATAGCAACCAGCTGTAGTCAAAGCATACACAAAGGATAGAAAGTAATATTTTAACTGTCATGTCATAGCCTGTTATAAATATTGTCATTTCTAATGTTTTATGCTAACGACAGTGACTAATAGTAGTCATTACCTCTGTTCATTCTCATAAAAATTTCCTCTAGAGAATATGATCACAGCTAGAGTGCTGTTTAAAATTAAATTTTGTTTTTCTAAAATAGATAACATAAAAATATTTAAATACTAACAGGTTTGTTAACTATTTTATTTTGTAATAACATGTGTTCAACAACTACAGTTTTTGTTAATTGTGCCATAAGTTGAACAGACATCCCTTTTAGAAACATTTCTGGCATGCTAGTGTGTCACATCTCTGGTGTCTGAACAATGGAATAAAAGGTGAATCTCACAGAAGCCATAAAAAAGTCTGATGCTACCCCTGTAGAGGCTTAATATTAAGAACATTGAATTTTCTCATCCATTTCTTATTTCAGTTATGAATTCTGCTTACTTGACAGGTACAGAGTACTTCATTATGTGCACGAACAGAAATGCTTAAATGGATGAAGCAGCTATTTACGTCTGATAGGAGCTAAGTGGGACATTAAATTAATGCCAAACAAGTGAGTGCTCATTTTAGTTTTGTTATAAATGGCTGCAGCACAGCAGTAATGTGTTGACTCTTATGTGCTGACAAGTTCTATATTTCTTACAAACTTCCCTTAGAGCTCGTCGTGGAAAGACAAATTCACACTCTGCATGATGAAATTAGCAGCAGATGCATTAATAATTGAATAAGGATCTCTGGAGACACACCACAGCTCAGAAAGAGAGTTGTTGACTGGCTGGTTTAAGTAGAGGCTTCTGTTCTTATATATATGCACTTACATAAGCCATGAGTTAAGAGCTGCTGCCTGTGTGTAGCCTTTGATATCAAATCCACTTCCTGCTCTTAGAAGACTTTGCAAAGTTACATTTGACAGGTCCATGAGCAGACTGACAGCCATTAATCTGGGCAGAGTGTGGCTTTGCTCATTCCCCCCTCTCTCTGACTGTTCTTAAACTTCAAGGCAAACTGAATGCAGTTTCTTCAGAAATCATCTCCAGACAATGGCGGGGATATGAGTGACTGGAAGACTTTGACTGTTTGCCAGACCCTTGTCATGGACCTCCTTCTGTAGGGTTGAAAGTTTCCTGAAGTGCAAATCCCAGCTTCTCTCACAGAAGGATTAGGGTACTGACATCTTCCTTTCCAGCAAACATGATGTTCTTTGATTTAGCCACATGCTCAGGTTTGAGAGGGAAGAAATGTCACAGCATCACAAAGAGACCACAGTGAGTCATCTGATCCCACTTGCCTTTTCAAGAAGGCCCATCCTAGAGCACATTGCACAGGATGTGCAATTAAATTCTTTAATCTCCAGTGAGGGAGACTCCACAGCTTCCCTGGACAATCTGTTCCAGTGCTCAGTCACTGCAAAAAGTTTAAAGATTTAAAAGATTAAAGAAGTTTTTTCTCATATTCAGGTAGAATTTCTGTGCATCAGTTTCTGCCCATTGTGTCTTGTATTGCTCAGCACCACTGAGCACAGCCTTGAAACATCCTCTTGACACCCTCCCTTCAGAGGCTGATAGGCACTGATGAGTTCCCTCTCAGTCAGCTCTTCTCGAGGCTCAACCAGCCCAGCTCCCCCAGCCTTTCCTTGTAAGAGAGATGCTCCAATCCCTTAATCATCTTTGTTCCCCTCCACTGGACCCACTCCAGGAGCTCCGTGTCTCTGCTGTACTGAGGAGCCCAGAGCTGGACACAGCACTCCAGATGTGCCTCACCAGGCTGAGTAGAGGAACAGGATCCCCTTTCTCAATTTGCTGGCATTGCTCTTCCTGATGTACCCCAGGACAGCATCGGCCTTCTGAGCCACAAGGGTACACTGCCAGCTCAAACTGTGTCCTTTGGACAATAGCAAAGCAAGCAAGAGGACTGCCAGAAAAATAACTCTACTTTTTAAAGATGCCATCAAGACTTGGATGTAATTTTTAATAGCTACTTTGCAAACACATCAAATAATATTATGCTCAGAGGATATTGACAACATAGTGTGATATTTCATCCAGAGCAATAGCATTGGAGCAAATTCTTCTGGGTTTAAAATCAGAACTTTATTCCACTATTGCCTAGAGAGTGATAGTAATTTGAATAGTCTAAAAATTTGTTCCAGTTTGAGGAAAGCCAAGATTTAGCACAGTGTTAGTAGGTTAACTCCATAGAGCTCTCCTAACTATGCATGCAAACTTCAGTCGCTGGTTTTGAGCACAGGTTGAATTGACTTCTGTGTTTTGCTTTCCTGCAGGTTATTTTATAAATCTCAGGATCTGTAAGAAAAACTTAATATCAAAATATTTATTAGTGTATTTTCTGGAGTTTCATCACCTAAAGAAATGCTAATTCTAATCTTAGAATTTAAATATATTGCAGTATTTTGCATAAACTACAGTATGATTTAATAAAGTGGTACAATCTTTAAAGCAGTACTCAAGATTCAATTGTCTTTAAAACAATACTTCAGTTCCTTCTATTTAGATATGCAATTCTTTTTATTCCATAACAGTGTATATGTTACTTATTCAGGAAGAATTTGGTATGAATCTCATAATGGAAATATGGAATTTGAGATCTTTTTAGTATGAGAAACATTTAAATAGTTTCTGTTGTCACTTGAAATAAGAGTTAAGTCACAGAGATTTATATTTGTATAATGAAGTATTGTCTCAATCTAAATCACAGAATCACAGAATTACTAGGTTGGAAGAGACCTTCAAGAGCATTGAGTCCAACCCATGTCCAAACACCTCACTAAACCGTGGCACCAAGTGCCACATCTAGATACTCTGAAATACTCCACAAGTGGCAGCTCAGCTGAGGAAAGACCAATACATATTTTGTTTTGTGATATTGAACCACTATGCAGATATTAAGAGATCAGAGACAATCAGGTGAAGGAGTAAGCATGCCAAAATAATACCCTGATTTCAGCATCATGTCTTCTTTTGGAACAAAGATGTGAAAATTGGATTTACATAAACTTTTTTAGTCAATAGAGCTACCATTTCAGAATTAATATTTTTTCATTTGATTCACACATGTATAGTACATTTCACTGCTGTTTAAAAAAAGCAATCTTATCATCATCTGAGTTTTTAGGGAAAAGACTAAGTACTCAAACAAGGTCATGAACTGCTAGATGAGAGGAATATACCTGAGTTGCACAGACCAAGGAGGAATAAAGGGACTGCATTGACGGGCAGAGGCAGAGAGGTCACGAGTCATTAACTATGGCTTTATGCTTCACATCTCTCTACAGTGAGTTTAATCCTATTAACTGATTTCCATTCATTCTGTTATTTCCATGAAATAGATCCTAAGTCTTCTCCAGGTTAAAAATTAATATTATGCAATCAAATAGCTTTTGTACCTATTGTTAGCACACATAAGGCACATCAGTGGCACCAATGTTTATTCTTAACATCTGAAGTAATCACCAAATTTCACAATTCTAGCAGTAACCACTCCTGTAAAAGTGATATTTCTAAAGCCTTCTAGTGAGTGGATAAACCAATGGGTTTTATCCATGTTTTGCAGGTCACTGGAAGTTCAGAAGAGCAAAGCAAATTAAAAGAACTCCTTCCCTTTTTCTATGACAGTAATTTTTCACTTGAGTATATGAGCATTTGCTAATATAAAAGCTGTTGAGGAGGATATGAAGCGAACTTCTTCTAACACTGCCTTATAAAGTAGAAATAAATGTTGCATTTCAAATCCAGCTCTCCTTGAAATTTTATTTCATTTTAAAAGGCATCGAGCACCAAATTTTTGTCTCTGGTGACTTACAATCATACAAATCCTCTTAAACTGAAAACAGGGTTTTCTAATTGTCATCCTGTAACCTCAGCCTGAAGATGAAGTAGCTACATTTTGATTTTTGTCTTGTCGCTAAGGTTGATGTTTCTGCAGGCCATAAAATTTTTATCCTTTGTACTTTGCCCTTCTACCCTACATGGTCTTCCTTAGTTGTCCCCTTCTGTTATTGTTGCTGTTGTTGTTGTTATTATTATTATTATCATTATTATTACTATGTTTCTTTGAATATTTGCCCAGATATCGTTTAGGTGCATCCTTTTCTTGGAATTAGTTGGCAAGTCTGTTAGTACTCCATGCACCTATCTGTACTTCTCTACAAATTACCCAAAAGAATAATTTTTTCCTTAGAGTCAATATGTGAAATGGGGGGGGGGGGGGAGGGGGGGGGAGGGTTGGAGGGAGAACAAATTTTTTTTTTGCATATTTTTCTGAACTTGAACACAGATGTGGAGAAACTGGTGTATGCTGCACCCTCCGTAAGCATTCTGAGAGAGCACAAGCTATAGGGATGTCCAGCACAACTGAAACAGTGTAAGGTGCTGCAGCAGCAAATTACTGCAGAATATCAGTTCTTTCTTGAGGAGTCCTTGGGATGGCAGACTAAGCATGGAGAGTGTCCATAGAGAGTTCTTGTCCACTGTGTTCAAGCAACACAAATATACAGGGTTGAAGTCACTGTGCATTTCCAGATTATCCTCTGAAAGCTGTGATAGCTGTGCTGAGTTGGCAGGGCTAAAAATTCAACACAGCAGTCTCCACAGAATACATTTGATTTCTTTGTAGCCCACTCTGATCAGAGAAAGGTCAGGTGTTTCCATATATTCTCTGTAAACCTTCTTTGAATTTAATAAATTGGGATGGCACTTACATAGAATGACCCAAGCTTTTGGATAAAATGACACCACTTCATTCATCCAGGTAAGTAATACCATGATTCTACTTTTCCTGCTAGTTGAGAAAGCAGGACCTGGTTTTTGAATGTCCTGGATGAGAAGTGCAGTCTTTTCTGATCACAAACAAAGCCTGGTATTTATATCAGCTTTTCCCTTTTACTTTCCAGTCTACTGAAAGAGACTTCTCTCCCCCATCATGATCTTTCTCGGTTCCCTAGCATTTATCAGTCCAATTAGTGTTGTCAGCTTTCTTGCTTCTCTTCTGTCTCTCTGATAATGCAGAGATAATGCACAGGAAATCTCCTGACCAAAATAAAAATGTCTAGTTTGTACTTCTCTGTGAAAAAATGTCTAAAATTGAGCAATGACTTAACACCTGCTGATCCAAAGTCTTCCATATTGCACAGTGGACATTTAATTTTCCTTTAAAGAAATCTGTAACATGATGGGGGGTGTGGGTCGGAGGCAGAGACGACACACACTCCCAAGTTCCTGTGACAAACAGCCTTGAGTTAATTCCTGCAGCTCCTTTTATAAGAGCTCCAATTGCATACATGATTTGTTGAGGTCTTAGCCCCTCCAGTGCTACATCTGCATTTAGGGCTGAATGACACTTGGCTGAGGGTCCCTGTGTAGATTTGAATCCTACCTATCCTTGCCCACCCAGGGACTCCAATGCTACAGAAATGGACTTCTTCTTCTCTTTTAGGAGCAGATTTCCCACTGCTGAAACAGAAAACTCAGTTTTGTCTTTCAGAGACTCTTTGGAAATGCCTCTCTCCCACACAGCTGCAGTTTCCTGTCCTTTCTG